ACTACTATATACAGGTCTCAGAGTTACCTACTGATTGCCTATTCTGGATTTTACTTGTCTGATTTTCTTTAGGTGTGTGTTTTTTTTCTGTGTGTGTATATTCCCCCCAATACGTAATGTATGTCACTTAAGGAGTGAAGCAAATCAAATATCATGGTATATGATGGAATTCCTATCGGACAGTCAACAAGCCATTGTTCCATGGATTTCTAGATTTCTTAAAGTACAGCTTTCCTCATTCAGCCTAGCCTTCGTGTCTTCCGCTGTTGTTGGAAAATGTCTGTCATCATCTTCAGATAACCCAACATATGTGTCTCAAGCTGCTGCGGAGCAAAAGCCCCCTTACATGCTTTTTTGCAGATAATATTGGAATACACGTCTCATCATACAGCCTAGAATGGCTCTCTTGCTGTAAGGACTACAATTCCTAACATCCTTGGCTATCTCAACAGACATGGAAAGTTAATGCGGACTAAAGCGCCTGCAGCATGCGCTAGTCAAGTGTTGGAGTGCAAGTCAAATTAACTGTAACAGCCAGAAACGGCCTATGAGTAATGGGAGTTCTATTTCACCAACTGTTGTAGAGATGCAACTTGATAGTCTTTCTGCCCGATCGCGCATATTGCTAATTCAGGGCCATTTCAACAAAATGAGTATTGCAACAAAGGACTGCCAGTGAAATATAAAGAGGAGGTATATTTTTGAAGCACTGAAACAGTTAAACATTGTAATAAATAATCTAGGCTTTGTGGATAATGCTTGGGAATTATGCATATTTGCCATTTTATCTCCCTATATTTAGAAAAAAAGAAAAGAAATATAAATATACATTAGCTGCCTGTGTCTTCTTTATTAACATTGCTTCAAGCGGCATGTTTATCAAGCTAGGAAACTTTGCCCTTAAGACAGAGTTTCGTGGAATACAATTATTTCAGGCTGAACATGTTTGACATTTTATCTTTCCAATTAATCCATGGGCAGTGGTTTTCAAATCTACTCCCCCACCTAGCAATGCACCATGGCCCTCGTCTAAACAATTCATACACTATAGCTGAATTTTACTAACAATGGTCAGAATTCAGTGATGGCACTGACTGTGGATATAAGAAACATTAACTGGTATGCATGATGGAGATAGCTTACACTTTAATGGCATTCCAAAATAATTTATCTGGAAACGGACAGGAGTGTTAAATTAAATCTTTAAAAATTAAATTAAAAGCCTGAACTTGATGGGCGTATGTCTCTTATCGGCCAACGTAACTATTTAAATCTACATATGTTTGATATTGTGGAATAATATGGGGAAAATTGGGATATGTGTTAGATCTAAGAAGGCAAAATAAAGCTCCTTAGTTGTTAAATTAAAGCCCCCGTGATGCTTTCCCAAACTTAAAGGCACTATAAACATTGCAGCTCACTGTTGGGGTTATTTACTAAAGTGAGAAATCATAGTGAATTTCAAATTTAAGGCCAGACTAGCACAGCTGACTTAGATCAGTGTTCAAGTTTGGCTATTTTTAACTTAAATTTGAAATTCTCCTTAAATTCTCACATTAGTGAATAACCCTGTGGGTCTTTGGATGTTATACCCCTGTTTTCTGTTAAATCCTGTTCTCCTCTCCCCAGCACCTTAAGACTGATGCTTCTGCAACCACTTAGATAATGCAGAAAACTCATTTCCATATAACCCATTCAATGCCACCCAAACATGTGCCAAGATGTGGCCACTATGGCAGATTAGCCCAGCACTCACAGCTCATCACAGTCTAAGGGTAAACTGATTATATTTAAGGGAAACTTCCCCAAGTTGGAACTTTAAGTGTTAGCCCAGTTTTTTCCGACATTACTTAAAGGGATCCTATAGTGCCAGGAAAATCAACTATAGGCTCTTGGAGTGCCCCCCTCCCTCGGGGCTGCAGGGGTTAAAATTCTTTCAGCCACTTACCTGAATCCAGCGCTGATGTCCCCTGGTGCTGGGTCAGGCTCCGCCCACACTCCTCCCTCTCCTCTAGGGAGACCTAATGAGCATGCGCAGCCATGTGCGTATTAGATCTGCCCATAGGAAAGCATTATTCAATGGGGAAAATTTGACACTGGAGGTCTGTGAGGATGTCCAGCGTCAGATAACCAAACAAAGGTCGATTTGGATTCTGGAAGTCCTCTAGTGGCTGTTTGGTAGACAGCCACTGGAGGCAGACTTAGAGCTGCAATGTAAACATTGAAGTTTCTGTAGAACTGCAATGTTTTACATTGCAGCACTAAGTGCAAAAGGGACACAGCAGCCAGACTACTTCAAAGAGCTAATGTGGTCTGGGTGCCTACAGTGTCCCTTTAAAAGCAGTTTGATTGAAAATGGGAGGCCAGCACCTGTAGAGTTACATCACCAAAACAGCTACTATGAGCTATAGCGGCTGTAGTGCTGGCTGACTGGTAGTGCATTATAAAAGCTGTTGCCATATATCAGTCAGGAATTGCATTTCTGGCCATATCTACTTTACAGGAAAGTTTTGAAGAATGAAAATAGTATATCTGACAGAAACAGACATTTTCATTACTCAGAAAATCTATTTTGTTTTTATTGTAAGATACAACTTGGTGAACTGACACTGTATCCTTGCATAACAAATTGTTTTCTTGTATCGAGTTGGAAAACCTTCTCCCAGGCAAACAACACAAAGATAGAGCATGTATCCATTTCATGGGCATAATAATAATCTGTAGTTTGCATTTTAAATTGCAAACAAAGCTATACCGTTTGATGCATTGCCATAATATAACCTGTAGGCTAGCGTTATACTTATAGAACCCAAAATAACCACAACAAATGAGCGGCACTGCAACATTCTATGTACAGACTTCTAAGGTATGTATTCTGGCAGCTGGCACATAGGAGGCAAAAAGTCACCACGTTACTCCAACATGGTTGGCAGTTAAAGCCCACTTTAGTATATACATTAGAGAAGTGCAAATTGCACTTAAGGGTTCAAATTAGTAGTTTAAAGGAATACTCCCACCACATAATTTAAATTTATCTGGACCACTATAGTGCCAGGAAAACATACTCGTTTTCCTGGCACTATAGTGCCCTGAGGGTGCCCCCACCCTCGAGGTCCCCCTCCCGCCGGGCTGGATGGAGAGGAAGGGATTACACTTACCTCTTTCTCCAGCGCCGGGCGGAGAGCTCTCCTCCTCCTCTTCGCCTCTTCTCCTCCTCTTCGGCTGAATGCGCATGCACCGCGCGCGCATTCAGCCAGTCCATAGGAAAGCATTCATAATGCTTTCCTATGGACGCTGGCGTCTTCTCACTGTGATTTTCACAGTGAGAAACGCGGAAGCCCTCTAGCGGCTGTCAATGAGACAGCCACTAGAGGCTGGATTAACCCTAACATAAACATAGCACTTTCTCTGAAACGGCTATGTTTATAGAAAAAAGGATTAACCCTAGAAGGACCAGGCACCCAGACCACCTCATTAAGCTGAAGTGGTTTGGGTGCCTATAGTGGTCCTTTAACCATTTCTCATACTGCAGAGTAGAGAGGAACAAACTTAGGAGGCAGAGGTGACAGGCACCAGAGCCCCAACTTCATGGCAAAATCATTGCTAAACCGTTCTACCCCTAAGAGTAAGAAGTCACCTAACTACCCCCATAAAAAGTAAATCAACTTAAGACGGCACTGCCACCACTTACAAACTTTGCAGAATTTGCAGAAAACAACAACAGTGACATCATTGCTTGTTGGTCTGATGGCCAGAAGAGGTCAGGGAAAGGAGTTCTACTCACCATCTTCTCCTTGTAGATCCTTTTTAAACATCACTGCTGAACTCTCGTGTACATAGCTCCGAGCCCTTTGGAGGATCCCGCAATTCATGCTTCCGTCACTGTTGATGTCTGGGGGATTCACACTTCTTGACGGCGGTTGCTCCATCCAGTGTCAAGAAGTGTCAGGCGGAGGAGAAATACTGGGAGAAAGTAGTCCCTATTTTGTGTCAGTATATCTCTTGACTGGTTGGAATTTGAGTAAAATGAGTGAAATACTAATTTTTCAATAGGGTTGACAGTGCCGCTTTAAGATGTTATGAGGACAGAAGTGTTCCTTTAACCTTCTTTAAAAAAAATCTTGTGCCATACTTGAAATCAAAGCGCCCATAAATTATTAAGAATCCCATTAGCACACATACACGGGACCTTCAAACTCTGAAGGGTATACAGAACAAAATATTAACACTGATTTTAATATACAAAACGTTAGCAATATATTTGTGCTTGATTCCTTTTCATAAATTATACAAACATGCTACTATCTTGCCTTACTAAATACATTTGGAATTGTATTAAAGAAAAGGCATTCAACAATGATTTATAGCCTCAGTGTGAATCAACAGATTCATAAAAACCGTGACTGTTTTATGTGCATTTTGTAATAATAAAAAATCTGATCATTTTCTTTTTCTTATATTTAGATTTGAATTATTACCCCAGCAGCTTTTAGGACTATTAACAATGCTTAAAGGGACAGTAAAGTAATAAAAATGACTGGGTATTTGACTTATTTTACTGTCTACCACAGATATCTACATGTTGGTAAACTAACGAGCCCGCTACCTTACCATGCATTTTCTGCAATTTTGTTTTGTGAAGGGACATGTTGCCATGGCTCCCTAACTGTATTGCACAGAGACAGATGAAGGCAGAAACTTTACATAACACAAGTACCCATCGTTACACAAAACCAACAATGCAAGTATTGTATATGACCATTAAAGGAACCTGCTCTAGTGGCTATGGTGCCAATGAAAGTGCCTGGGACCTGGCAGCATCCTACAGTTAGATCTTCTGCAGCTGGGAAATCCGGTTGCTCTGCAAATCTATAGATATATAGCTGTATACAGATCAGCAGCCTTGCATTATTCCAAAGGTACATCTGGCTTTTCTGTTGGCAAAGACTAGATGCGAGAGATCTCGCTGTGGATGTATGGCGAGGCACAGGTACGTTGGCACTCTATACTAAAGCAGCTTGGCATCTTACCATGGCATAGCACCAGGTCACATCTAACCTCATAATCACCTTGTACCATAATCACCACGGCCACCAAAACTTTATGGTGACACAAAGATGCAAAACAAGCCCAATAAAACCGAACAAAAAAAATACATGTTGTGATGTTCCCTTGCTGATGCAAATCTCTAGGTCATCCATGAACCATAAAGTGGCAGTGTTTTCTTATCCTTATCATTATCCTCTTTTTGTTTTCAATGGAAGTACTTTGCACGTCTTAAAACATTATCAATAAGTCACTGTGGGCAAAGGGATTCCAGGAGTGCAGATACATTGGTTATAATAAAATTGTAAATAAAGAAATGTTTTTCTTTGTTCATAAGCAAAACAGTCAACATTTTGGATCAACAGCAAAAAACTGATGTGAGGAAGGCTGAACTTGATGGACACGTGTCTCTTTTCAGCCTATGTAACTATGTAACTATTAGCAGACACCAGGAGATCCCTTCTTGTTTTCCTTAAATGTAAAGGTTTACTGTAAAACGTGAATGGACATCACTGAATACATGATAAAATATCAATATAAAAAATATAAAAATGACTTTATATTAGATACTTTAAACTGTATTTTAATTAACATTTCCACTATAACATTTGAAACAAACATTGCTATTTCTCACTATTTACTAGGTCAAAAATAGAATGTGAAGATCAAAAAATTCTCCCTGCATCAGAGCATGTTGCCATGAGTTAAACAGGTTTCCTTTGCATGCTGTTCCACCCCATCTGCTTGCTATGATTGCAGGGATGGAGAAATGTTCTTCTATTTATATAGCATAGGAAGAGATAGAACAGGAGTCTTTAGTAACTATGAATTCTATTATGTGCATAGATGCACAATTAACACTTCCTGTTAGTTTAGCTAGTGTGTGGGAAACCCTTTATGTTACCATATTATCTTAAAATGGATAACAGACAGAAACTTGGAAAGATCACAGCTGTTTGTTTCAACATAAGGAGCTGTTCGCAGTAAGAAATGTACAATTCTAATTTTGTGAAAAACATTTAAATTAGAGCAGGAAAGTAATTGGGTTAAAACCTTAAATGGTGATGCTAAGTTTTCAATATATAAATACGAAAGAAATAGCAAATACTCAATGTATTTCTCTTCTTTTACCTATCTCAAACCTCACCTGTCATAGCTCTGCAACTTCCTTCTACAATTCCACCCTCTTCTCTCAACTAGACATCATGGCACCTCCTACATTTAAACGCAGCATGGGCCCCCAACAACAACCCTGGCACACCAAGCTGACTCGATACCTCCAAAAATGCTCCAGAACTACTGAACGCTGTTGGAGAAAGTCTCACTGTGCGTCTGACTTTCTCCACTATAAATTTATGCTGCGCTCATACAGCTTGGCTCTTTCCTCTGCAAAAGTAAATTACTTCAATACCATCATAACCACACTCTCCCATGAACCCAAATGACTATTTCACACATTTAACTCTCTTCTTTCCCCTATTGTTTCTCCTCCACCTATTAACTTGACCACCTCAGACTTTGCAACTCACTTCACTGACAAAATCTCTACAATCAGGGAAGAGATATCTCATCTTTCTTCTTCCCCTTACTATACTTCCCCTAACTTCACTCCCTCTGCTGTTCTATGTTCATTTGCACCGCTACAGTGGAAGAGGTTTCTGCTCTGCTACAGTTCTCTCGCCCCACCACCTGCTCCCTAGATCAAATTCCCTCGCATCTCATCCATACTCTGTCTTCTTCTCTTTCTCCACCTCTCACTAAAATTCTCCATTTCTCTCTCTCCTCTGGCATATTTCCATCACCCTTCAAACATGTAACTATAACCCCAATTCTAAAGAAGCCCAACCTTGACCCTAACTCCCCATCCAACTACTGTCCTACCTCGCTCCTGCCTTTTGCATCCAAGATGCTTGAAAGAGTTGTGTATGCAGAATTGACAGACTTCCTCGAGTCCAACTCTCTGCTAGACCCACTTCAGTCTGGTTTCCGCGCTAAGCACTCTATGGAAACAGCACTGACCAAAGTATCTAATGATCTACTCACTGCAATATCTCATGGTCACTACTCTATCCTAAGTCTCCTTGACCTGTCTGCGGCTTTTGACACTGTTGATCATCAACAGCTTATCATCCTCTGCAATATCGGTCTACAAGACATTGCTCTCCCCTGGTGCTCCTCCTACATCTCCCAGGGCTCCCTACTGGGATTGTCTCTAAAACAAGTTGTTGAGGAGCCAACTCGTAAAGAGGCCATACTAGATTTAGTGTTAACAAATGGAGATTTGGTATCAGATGTTACTGTAGGTGAAAGTTTAGGATCCAGTGATCATCAGTCAGTGTGGTTTAATATAAGAACAGTGACTGAGTCACACCACACAAAAACAAAAGTTTTAGACTTTAGAAAAACAGACTTTTCTAAAATTAGAATATGGGTAGAGGAGTCATTATCAGACTGGAGCAATTTAAATGGAGTCCAAGAAAAATGGGATTATTTAAAAGTTGCACTATTGAAGGCAACAGAAAATTGCATTAGGCTTGTCAGTAAAAGCAAAAAATTCAAGAAACCACTGTGGTACTCCGCAGATGTGGCCAAAATAGTTAAAAACAAAAAGTTAGCATTTAGGAATTATAAAAAAACCCAGAGTGAGGGAGACAAAATGATCTATAAGATTAGGCAGAAAGAGGCTAAGCAAGTTATAAGAGCTTCCAAATCACACACAGAAGAGAAAATAGCACAGTCAGTAAAAAAGGGGATAAAACATTTTTTAGATACATAAATGAGAAAAGAAAAGTAAAACAAGGATTAGTTAGATTAAAAACAAAAGAAGGAAGGTATGTAGAAGAGGATAAAGGTCAGGCTGACTGCCTCAATGAATATTTTTGTTCTGTATTTACAGAAGAAAATGAAGGAAAGGGACCTCAGTTGAGAAAAAGGATAAATGAGTCATTTATTACACGTGAGTTTACAGAGGAAGAGGTTCTATTTCAACTGTCAAAAGTAAAGACAAATAAGTCAATGGGACCTGATGGAATACACCCAAAGCTATTAAAAGAGCTTAGTGGTGTACTAGCAAAACCATTAACAGATTTATTTAACCAATCATTGTTAACAGGAGTAGTCCCAGAAGATTGGAAATTAGCGAATGTTGTGCCCATTTACAAGAAAGGTAATAGGGAGGAGTCGGGCAACTATAGGCCAGTAAGCCTTACTTCAGTAGTGGGGAAAGTGATGGAAACCATGTTAAAGGATAGGATTGATGAACATCTAAAAACACATGGATTTCAAGATCAGAGACAACATGGGTTTACTTCAGGGAGATCATGCCAAACTAATCTTATAGATTTTTTTGATTGGGTAACTAAAATTATAGATCAGGGTGGTGCAGTAGACATTGCTTACCTAGATTTCAGTAAGGCTTTTGACACTGTTGCACATAGAAGGCTTATCAATAAACTGCAATCTTTAAGTTTGGATTCCAATATTGTTGAATGGGTAAGGCAGTGGCTGAGTGACAGGCAACAGAGGGTTGTAGTTAATGGAATATATTCGAAGCTTGGACTTGTCACCAGTGGGGTACCTCAGGGATCTGTACTTGGACCCATTCTCTTTAATATTTTTATTAGTGATATTGCAGAAGGTCTTGATGGTAAGGTATGTCTTTTTGCTGATGATACTAAGATATGTAACAGGGTTGATGTTCCAGGAGGGATAAGCCAAATGACAAATGATTTAGGTAAACTAGAAAAATGGTCAGAATTGTGGCAACTGACATTTAATGTGGATAAGTGCAAGATAATGCATCTTGGACGTAAAAACCCAAGGGCAGAGTACAGAATATTTGATAGAGTCCTAACCTCAACATATGAGGAAAGGGATTTAGGGGTGATTATTTCTGATGACTTAAAGGTAGGCAGACAATGTAATAGAGCAGCAGGAAATGCTAGCAGAATGCTTAGTTGTATAGGGAGAGGTATTAGCAGTAGAAAGAGGGAAGTGCTCATGCCATTACACAGAACACTGGTGAGACCTCACTTGGAGTATTGTACACAGTACTGGAGACCGTATCTTCAGAAGGATATTGATACCTTAGAGAGGGTTCAGAGAAGGGCTACTAAACTGGTTCATGGATTGCGGGATAAAACTTACCAGGAAAGGTTAAAGGATCTTAACATGTATAGCTTGGAGGAAAGACGAGACAGGGGGGATATGATAGAAACATTTAAATATATAAAGGGAATCAACACAGTAAAGGAGGAGACTATATTTAAAAGAAGAAAAACTACCACAACAAGAGGACATAGTCTTAAATTAGAGGGACAAAGGTTTAAAAATAATATCAGGAAGTATTACTTTACTGAGAGGGTAGTGGATGCATGGAATAGCCTTCCAGCTGAAGTGGTAGAGGTTAACACAGTAAAGGAGTTTAAGCATGCATGGGATAGGCATAAGGCTATCCTAACTATAAGATAAGGCTAGGGACTAATGAAAGTTTTTAGAAAATTGGGCAGACTAGATGGGCCAAATGGTTCTTATCTGCCGTCACATTCTATGTTTCTATGTTTCAGTGTTTCTTTCTCTGGCTCTGCTTTTTCTACCCAACTCCTCTCTGTTGGTGTCCCCCAAGGTTCAGTCCTTGGTCCCCTACTGTTCTCTATACTGCCTCCCTTGTTAAACTCATTAGCTCCTTTGGCTTCCAATATCATTTATATGCTGATGACATGCAAATCTACCTGTCCTCTCCTGATCTCTTCCTGTTCCTCTTGACTTGTGTCTCTGATTGCCTCTCTGCTATTTCTAACTGGACGGCTGCCCTCTTCCTTAAACTCAACTTGACCAAAACTGAAATTCTGGTCTTTCCTCCCTCAAGTGTTGCTACTCCTGTCTCTGTCTGTCTCCAAGTCAATGGTGCTACCATCAGCTCCACCACACAGACTCACTGCCTAGGTGTTCTCTTTGACTCTGACCTCTCTTTCACGCCTCATGTTCAGTCTATTGCCAAATCCTGTTGTTTCCATCTCAAAAACATTGCTCACATCCGACCCTACCTAATGCCAAATGCAACTACGGTGCTGGTCCATTCCACTGCCCTTTCTTGCCTTGACTACTGTAATCTGATTTTCTCAGTGGTCTTACGTGCTCCCAACTTGCGCCGTTACAGTCCATAATGAATGCGGCGGCGAAGCTCATCT